CTTTTAGTGGGGACAGAAAAGGAACAGCCCTGTTCTTTTGCAAAGACAAAATGGAACAGCGATGACTTTGCCAAACATTCTTTTCACAGGGTCTCGGTTGGAAAGTAGTGGACAAGCCAAAAATCGACATTCCTTTGAAGCCTGAGCCGGTGTGCCAAGGTGTACCCTCCAGCTCTCCTAACAAACTGGCATCGTACAGCCTTGGGCTGGTAACAATTCTTTTTGCCGTGCTTCTCTCTTGTATGTACTGATTTCGATACAAACCAAGGGGTTAAAAACTACATGTATTCTCAGTTTCCACTGAAAGTAATTCCCATTTAACCAAGTAATCCACTTTTATACTGAAAATTGAGCTGAATACATAAATTGATATCTTTCCAGAAAAAAAGGAGGCACGGAAGGCTTTCCCAATGGAAAACTTTCTCAAAATACCATTTAACAGTGCATGACAAGACTTTGTGTATTGCAATTTATTTAACCAATCACAGCAGCAAATAGTATCTAGTCTAAAGCAGAAATAGTAGTAACAATTGTAATCACTTTGATCTTTTTGAGAAGTAAGTCAGGATTCCTTGAGCCTATTTATATCAAACTGAAAAAAGTGCATAGTGCTTTATCATAATTTGACAGCTAAATTTTGTGCAGTTTTGAATTAAATAAAAATCCCTTAAGCGGAAACTTAATTTTTTTAATTGTGGATCTGCTATCTTTAGTAGCTTCCTCTGACACTGTTAAGTCAAATGTCCTTTCAAGTCGTATGATTTTCTTTAGGTGCGTATTCCTAACCCTTTTCACCCTAGCATCAGCATGCATCTTCTCTATACTAGCCTCCGTACATTTTCAAAGGTGGTGACAAGGAGAGAGGTTGTTTAACAACCAAGAACTTCAGTTGTTGATCATTTCCCTTATTCTCCTGGCCTTAATGTTTGATTCAAGGCTGATACTGTCGGAAGAAATTGGATGCTAGATACTCTTAGGGGTTAAAGGATTAAAAGCTCGCGCAATGTCCAGGACTATTCGATCGTACGATCAATAACACATGGACAATTCTTCACTCTGCTGGGTAAAAATATTGATGAACACGGTAGATTTAATCCGTTGAAGCATATGCAGATGACAAAAGTCAACGAAAACAGAAATTCCACTCTGATGAAAGTCGTTCCTACGTTGAAAGCTGTGCATATCACGTTACTAAGGGTACCACTAAAGCTGGCTCATGGACAATGCTTGATACTACGGCAAATTTGATACGGCGCTGAAGAGTTTAACGGAAGGGTGCGGCACTTGACCGTTTGTAAAATTCAGTAATTCAACGAATTTCGCTATGGTTCTCTTAAGGTTTTTCTTAGGAGAGCGAAGCTCTATATAGGATTCCCTGACGAAATCTCTAACGTTGCTTTGCTAACGTGAAAGAAACGCAAATAAGGTATCGGGGGTAAGTGTCTCTGCAAAAACTAAGAAGCAAATACAGGGGTTGTATGCCAGTTTAAAGAAGAGCTGTCAAAACATACCTAGGAAAAGAAAACGCATGTAAGTGACTAGAATAACCGGTTCGAGACTAAAATACTCACAAACTCTTCTGAAAATATGTAATATTCTACGGTTGTCATTATCGATGATACTAACACACGAACAGTAAAACAATTGACATAAAACTAAAAAGAAAGGCACACCCCACGGAGCAGAACCCGGCTTCTGTAACACGTTGATTGGCCAAGAACAAAATACAGAGACCCTGTTAAGGGCTCTATACCAGACCACTCGGTCCAGTTGACTCCAGCACAATAACATCAGGCCTCCTCGTGTGCCATGTCGAGACACATTTTTAGGACACCCAGCCGTTACGAACCTACTTTACTACAAACAGTAGCTAAATCCCCGGCCAAATCTACAAAGAAAAGTGTGGAAGCAGGTACCGATAAAAAAACTGCGACCTAAACTGCCAATTGCATCGTTCTACTCTCCTTACGACGGAGAAGTTCGATAATGGACAAACCTTTTTTCCGCTACTTCGACCTATATTTCACATTGATGTATGATGTATGATGTATGATGTATGAATCAAGGTAAACGTCCTCGAAAAATGAGTGAAAATGGACTACAGCTATCTTGAAGGAGTATACCTCTACATTTTAAAACCGAGCAATGGGTCAATTTCATCACCTTCCGCTATTCCGTAGATTATGAGCAGTCCTTGGCGGTAAGGTCTGTTACGCTTTAGGCGCTAACAACAATTTTTTTTCACCGACTTTTTTCTTTCCGGGCGGCAAACTTCGCCGAAAAACAGGGACTGTTCGGAGTCTAGCTATTCTGAGTCTCGCTGCTATGGATACCTTGTGGCGGTACCCGAATATCTCCGCCGTTATCAAAGTCGAATCTACATTTTATCATTGTGAACAATTAAAGAATTTCCACAGTACCTTTGGTTACAAGAGACTGACCGCTACCACCTGTATTGGAAAATAAAAAAATTTGATGGGAAACCAAGTTGCAAAAAATAAATAGCTGTTAAAACATTACGGACTACGAAATTTGAGAGAAAGTTGAATTCAAGTTCCTGACACTAAAATTTTCATCATTGTTTCTCATAAAATGTTGCTACTTTAAGATTTGTGCTAGATTCCGTTAATCTTAAGATATTTGTACCACAGTCACGACCATGGATCGCAGTCTAATTAAGAAAACTAATGAAAAACACTCCAAGAAGAAAAAAAAACCCTGTTCTTGGCCTTCACAGAACTGAAAAGCAACTACTGCAAACCCGAGAGAACCGTAAAATTTTGATTAGACACAAGTTTTCTTCTGCCAATCTTGTCTGCGTTATCTGTCAGTAATACCTCTGATTCAGATGGTAACATCTGTTTCATCCATTTCACCAAATAACTGCGAAGGATGGATTCATTGGTACAACCAGCATAAAGGCAATATGTAAGAGAAGACATCGTTAGCAATGAAAGTACAATAACATAGCGCACATTTATGTTACAATTTAGCAAAAATACCGAGAAGTCAAAATCGGCTGTCTACCAGCCAACTGTCTCAAAACTGCCGGAGTTAAACCCGGTTTCAGCAGCATAAAGCAATGTTCAATTGAGTGTCAGAGTAATCCGGGTTCGCTTTAGTTTTGCTTTAATTCGCTTTACGATTAGTCCCGAAAACTCGCGCCTTTTTCTCAACCAGTCAGATTCGAATCCAAAACCAATCGCGACTTAATCACTCACGTTTTCCCGCGCTTCACACAGTTCACCTATTTTAACTCGTATTAACTTGCACAGACCTGAAATGGGTCTATAAAAATCCTGCTTTAGTCTAACTGGTGGACAGAGGTAAGATTGGGATTTGTATTTTGATAAGTATCAGAGTGTTTACAGAATATAAGAATTCAATGATCGAGCATCACAAATCATTGTCAAGAATTGCATTACCCTAAATACTGGAGAAATACAGTACAATTTACATGTATTTCTACTCTTTGGAATGGTTGCCGACTCGCACTAAGGTACCTCCTGTAAAAAAAACTATAAAATGATAAAACAGTCAGCATAAATTTTGATGAAATACACACCATGTATTTAAAGAAACAAATTCTGAGTAATTCTGAGTAGGTTAACTTGATAGGCACCATCAAACACTGACATTCACATTAGAACTTTTAGGATAGATCCTATTGAGTGCAGAATGTTTATGTTTATGGAATGTGTATGTTATTCTCAGTTACTAGTAAAAATTGGAACGCGGTTATTGAATTCCCAGCCTTCTAATTGGCTGAAAGGAGGCAGGATATGAACCTATAGCTTATTTCCGCGCTCAAAACCTAGCAGCGACAAATAAGGTAAAAAAAATCGTCAGCAACGTGAGAAAAAACAAAATTATTAATTTTACGATCGAGGTTACATGTAAACCGATTACCATGCAACTCCTTCTAAAATGGGAAAGCGAAAAACATTGCGCTAAGTATAAATGTATTTCACTTCTTCTCAACTCGTTCCCTGACATCCTATCACAGAGATTTTACAAGGTCTTAGCCTCAAATAGATGTAACTTAAAATTCAGTGAACAATTAACGACATTAACAAAAATCCCACTCTTGAATTAATCAAATCAAAATTGTGAGAAACATGACAATATAACATCTGCCAATGTTCCGCACTCTTTTTTCTTTATTTTAATCAGTTTATCAAAGTCAATAAATTACTCTAGTAACAACAAACTTAAAACATCACAATGTTTTATTAACAAACAATAAGAAAGTGCAATCAACTTTTATCAAGAACACCAACAATCCCCTTGGACTACGATAGAGACAGACAAATCTATTCTTTTTCATAGCTAAAATGCCTCGTAACCCCCATAACATTCAGAATAGGAAGAAGTTGAACCTTCAAAGGTGAGGAAGGTAAACTTTTCTTTCTACTCATATTCACACTAACTCGTTGAGCCAGGAAGGCATCGGAGCTGATATTACTACACGTAGCACTGAAAGATGCAGGAACTTTTCCACGTCACAATATGTATATACTACAATTCCCTAAATGGCTTAAACAAGTTTAACAACTTGCAATATTTTCATCATTATCCAGTCTGAGCAATGTACATAAAAGAAAAGACTCATGAAAAATAACTCAGCCATTAAATAAGTACTAATGTCTACCAAATGAAATTCATCTTGAAAAGTGTCATAAATTGTTAAGAGTACATGATGGATTCATGAACAAAAGAGAGATGAAGTCTTATGTACAGCGTTCATCGGCTCAAACCTTTTCGGTGATGAAAGGATGTGTGAGAGCCTGATTGAGAGAGATCCTTTTGACTGGGTCCAACATGAGGCATTTGTCGAGCAGATCCTTTAGTTGCATGACTTTACGTTTATGTTCCTCATTCAGTTTTTTGTAGCCCAGTAGAGACTCAACCACTTCTTTGTTGGGGTTGATGGCTCCCATCACTGTAACCTTTTCCTAGTGTGTTTGACAAACAGAAAAAAAGTTACAGTTGCATAGAATCAATTATAAAAAATGGTTGTTTACAATGGTCAACAGTCAAATGATTACTGTATGTATCATTACATGTACGTATAATTATGATAATCTTCTGTTGCTATTTTCCTAATGATGCATGTAGCTAGGGGTGTGCTATGATATTTTCTTAATAATGCTTTACAACACAAAGAAAAATGAGATTTAAAACCAAGGACATAATTGATCGAATCACATTCTATAAAATAATATGACCCTTAAAAATTTAAGCAGTTCATGTTGTAGTAGAAGTATGTACATTTAGTTCTCACCATAAAGCGGCTGGTTAATAGTTGGCTGGTTAATAATTGTTGGGGAGAAGTTGACACAATCTTGTCATAAAAAATGTGACGTGTACATGTGGGTGTCTTCAAATTGTAGCCAGCTACTTTACTCTTACCCTTTGAGTGACCTTGTCCACCTCATGATAAAGGAAGTTGCAGTTTTCATCAAAGTGTTGATCTCTGAGTGATCCTTTTCTAATCATCTTGTTAGGTATTTTCCCTTTGTAATCCATCATAAGCTTCAGCATTTCATTGTTGGTCTTCCCAGGGAACATAATCTTTCCTGTGTAAAGCTCAAATAATGTTGTTGCTACTGACCACATGTCTATACTGTAGTCATACTTTGCACCTATAACTGAGAGTGAAAGGAAATTTAAAAGTTATAATTTTATAATGAAAACTGTGTATAATAATTTTATAGTTGTTGACAAGTGCATGTGTTTTTGTCTACACAGCATAATTTTGAGAGGTACATTGCAAAAATGTTTCCTATAACATTGCAGGATTTCCTACATGTATGAGGAAGAGAAAAGTGCAGCTATGTATTAGACTCACACAAAGTAGGTTGGACTAACAATTATTGAGTCTAGCATGTGCAAATTGTAATCCTCAAAGAATTATGAATACACTTCACCCTACGTAGGAAGAGCAGCATTGTACACTTTTCTTTTTTTTCTCTATTTTTGTCAAACTTGCTCTAGGTTCTTTCCATCAGATACATGCATGTTATTTAACATAAAGTACAAATATGAAAAAAAAAACCCTCATAAACCAAACAAGTGATAAGAGTACACCCTCTAACCTGTCCAATTGTATATATGGGTACAACACCAGGACCCATTTGTTTGAAGGGTATAATACTATCTGCTACATTTTAATTACACTCAACTGCTGGATAGCGATTTATCCATTGCATAGTGTTATCTGCCTTGAACACCTAGCTCAGGTTGTTCAAAGCTGGGTTAAGATAACCCAGGGTTAGTGTTCAGCTCTGAAAGCTTTATAAGGAAAATTTAGTTAAAATCTTCCTGCATGCAAGTTAATCATTGGACTTTCTAAAAGGAACAAGGAAAATTTTCCCCAAAAGGCTTTTGAACAACGAAATAAAGAAACCTGGATGAAAATTGAAACCCTGTGTTAATGCTAATTGGCCTTCAAATGCACAGTAACTAGAAGTGAAAATTAGCAATCAGATCAGGGGAGAAATGGGTGAAAACATTTCTCCTTCATTTCATTAAAACTTACTTATCTCTGGGGCTCGATAAAAACGACTAACAAGGTATGGAGTTATATCACAATCAGAGGAAAATGAAGCTGATCCAAAATCACAGAGCTTTACAACCAGTTTTGATTCATTCACCTGTAAGAAAAACGAATAAAATTTACTGCAGTGTCTGCGTAAGCACTCTCATACCAAAGAGCATCCCCTGTACCAATAAGAACCCCTATTCTGTTTCAGTGATCTGGTGACAGCACTGTTAGAACCCTATAAGAGTACAAGCACATTATGATCAATTATGGTCATCTTCCTTAATTGCTTGCAAAAAAAATTGTGCTCTTCACCCGAGTCCCTCAACTTTTATTTCCATGCGATGAAACGTGATGTTGGATCAATATCAGTATCTGGGCAACTGCCCACCAACCCCTCCCCTAACCCAACAGCAGTCAATTGATAACAAGTTAGGGTTAATGTTGGGTTAGGGGAGGGGTAGGTGGGCAGTTGCCCAGATACTGATATTGATATGTGATTTTCAACATCCCTGTGACCACTGTTAAGTGAATATTCACTGTATAATTGTTACTGCAGTGACTTGATTACACCCCCTTGTTCTAATAAGTGCCCCCCTTACATTATGTCATTTCTAGGAAAAGAAATGTGCACCCTGTCCCTTATAAGTGCCCTGTTCCAAATAAGTGCCTTCCCTTAAGTACATGTACATGGATGTCTCAAAATTCAAAATTTTACAAAATGCATGAAGATATTTTGCTTGCAAATAATTCACTTATTTCTTATCAAAGTACAAGGCATGTAAATCAGTGTGATTGGAAGAAGGCGCATTTCAAAGGAGAGAAAAATTTTTACACTTCCTTTTCATATCCTGCCTCTCAGCCATTTTCTATGTTCTGTTCATTGGCCATAAAACAGTTACTTACCAGAATGTTATCAGGTTTAATGTCTGCATGGATTATACCTGTCTTCTTTAAAAGCTTCAGGGCTAGGAATAATTGCTGACTATATGAACGGACAGCTTTGTAGTGAAGTCCCACATTCTGACCATATTTCCGTAGAACCTCTCTCAGGTTCATACTGAATGGAATTAACATGAAAACAACAGAACAGAAAAGTCAACCTCTACATTTATTTAGTATATGTTTTTGACAGTAAGCTGTTTGTAAAGTCTGTTCTGCACACTGCAAAATTATTTGAAGGATACTAAGCAAATCAACCTCTATTTGGTGTAAAAATATGCTAATATAATTGTCCTTGTGCATTGTCTTTGACCTCACATTTGAAAAAACTGTTCAGCTCTTCAACAGTTAATGTCCCCTGACAAATCTGCAAATTTATCTTCCTACCAAAAGGAAGCTATTGTGTATAAACAACATAAACCTCTCAACCAAAGAGCTGACTACTGAGTTTAATGGTAAACTTTAAAAACAAACCTACATGTACCTCAGAGATTCAAATACAAGACACAGATGATTCTTGTGAAAGAAATGTCGATATAATTGCAGACAGTGATACTTGTCATCTGGGTCAGCTGCATTCAGCTTCTTCAGAAATTCAAGCTCCTTTAAGCCAGTCTTGTGCCTGTGGTTAAGAGAGATGAGATACATGTAAATTAAGTCAGCAGGCTGTACATGGTACTCTTACAAGTAGTAGGTACATGTGATAGGGTCTTATAACCCATTCACACCAAAGCTTAAACAAGTTTTAAGGTATTTTGTTAAACACTTTATCACTGTTTAAACCAATGTTTTTTTTTGTTTTAAAGTAAAACATTGAAAATACATGTCAATGATTACTTGAATCATACAGAAAATTCAGTTTTCCAGTCCTCTGTTTCTGGTTTTCATTCAGTTAAACCTGATTTAACTAAACATAATATTATTTTGCTGGTGTGAATGAACTGTTAATGACTTTTAGATTTAAGGCACTTAATCTACCTGTACCAAAATTTCAACCAGCCACCCAGGCCAGAGAATTCTTGAATAATATGTAATTTAATAATTATAGAAATAAATATTATAATAATACTTTTTATTCTTATTATATTAATAAGAAAAATGGTGGAGTCATGCTGCTCACTCTTAATACATGTACACAGTAAATTGTTTTTTTTTGTTTATTTTGTTTTTTTCCCCCACACTGTAGCAGCCAATATTTCATCTCTGGCAACCAGTTAATAATTTCAGGTTGCCAAAAGGTGAAATTAAAAAAATTAAGCTTTGAGCACTAACAGTTATTGTCCATGTGCTGAAGAATTGCAATGCCAGTTATCACTGGAGGTGGTATAGGTGAGCAATGTATGTTTGAGTGGCAACAGGAAATCAGTCTCCTAGCAAAAGTTAGGTACATATACACTTTAAACACCCACTATAATACAGTGCAGTAATGCACTTTGAGAGCATCACTGAGTGCAAAGCTATCTTATTACTTACATCATCTCATTATTCCTGGCTATTTTCACTGCCACTTCTTGGTTTCCTCTTGCTTGATCTCTTGCACGTACAACATTTCCAAACACCCCTGCTCCAGTGTAACCATAAACACAGTAGCGCTTGTCGAGAATTTCACTGATACGAATTCCTGAAGAGCAAAAATCAGCACTATCAAGATTTGATGTATACATTAAATATGTCTTCCATGCAATAGCATAGCACTATGCATTTAAGAGATACCCATTGTGCATCATCTAAAATTTGACCACATTAGACTCCATCAGAAGGAAAAAAAATGAACTTGAAGCAAAATCAAGCAAACAAGCAAGCAGAAAACAAGAGTAACCAATTCACAAATGGTTTTTTGCACATCTAATTGATACCAGAACAACAAGTAATCTTACTGTAATATCCCTCAGCATCATCCCAGTTGTCTGTGAGGTTAGGATTTTCCTTTCCTGCCTCAAGCTTTAAAGTCCTTGCAGGACTCTGAAATTATAACAAAAGTCACAGTGTAATTGGTTAAGAATCAGATCACGAACTGCATACTTAGATTTGACCAAACTGTTGTGCTAGTGACAAATGTAAGCACTGAGAGATTGTTGTTGCAATTGTTTAACCTTCAAATTGTCAAAACAAAATTTAATTTTTGACATACAATGTTTTAAAAACCATTGATCCAATCTTGCAGTGGTGTTCTTAATGTAAAAAAATTAGTTGGTATCACTCCTTGATAATGTTTAATTTAAGCTGAAATTGCAGAACTTCTTTCTTATGCAGGTAATAGATTTGTCTATTCTAATTACTGGTCTGTGGGATAATGTGGTTAAAATTCATGCAAATCACTTCTGGTTTGGAGTTACAGGGTTAGATTTTTCCTGAGGTAAACTTACACTGTAATTATCAGAGAACATATCATCATCAGCAAACATGTCCCCCACAGCAGATTTTGTTTCACTTTCTTCTTTTGTCTCTATGTTGTCCTTTACATCTCTCAGCTCCTTCTCTGTTTTGCTACTTGCCAATGCTATTTCCTGTTCTAAATCTTCAGTGGCTTGTTTTTCTACAGTGTCACTGTCTTCACTGTCTGATCTCTCTCCAGGTGGAGACTGAGACACAACTGAGTTGGCAGTGGACGGAGCATTTGATGAAATGCCACTGCCTTGGTACTTTTTCAATATGGCTAATCTCTGCAGCCTTCTTTTCTCAATAATTGCATCTTCATCTTCTTCCTTGTCATCCATCTCAAAGTTGTAGAGGTCAACACTATAATTTATAACAGGAAATTTGAATTTAAGTGCTGAGGGAACTTCTTTTCAATCTTATCAGTTTTTGAAAAACCATCACAAAAATTTTGAATATATATTCAGAATAAATATAAATCTTATTCTTGTACAAGACAGCAGACTGCACACACTGCTGAAAAGCAGAAAGCTTAAGGAGGCTCTTTGAGGCTTTTGCTCAATGTTGGCACCTGCGTACCAGCCTAGCGCTTTCTAGAAAATTCTTACGTTTTTGCCTTTCAAGGTCACTAAAAGCCATCAAAAAGCAATAAGCAAGGTTTGGACTATGATATGTTGTGTAAAAATTACCAAAACGATTTTTGTGATTAAGCTAAGGCTCTACAAATGGAGGCCCTTGCCAGTGATAATTTGACTTTGCTTGTGATTTACTTCAATGTGCTTCAGTGAAATCTCCCAAAATTTGTGAAATTTGTCCTGCCAATCATTTAAAGGCCAAAAAAGAAGGGGTTACAAAGGCAGTTTCCTTACTACTTGCAAGTTTGTGTTTTCTTCCTGTATCTCAAATTTGGTCTAAGAAATTTTTTTTAATAAACGAGCACTAAGAAGGACACAAATAATATTATGTTTAACGGTCCAGCAAATCTAAGGGAATTCTGCAGATGGAAATGAGACAAATCTTGCTCCAAAGATCCCTGTACTCTCTGTTGCAAAACATTATGGAATAAAACTTTGCCATGAACTACAACTGAGCAGGCATAAACTTTCAAATCTGTTGTCTTTTGGTAATCTTTCCCACTGTGTTTTCTTATTGGTTGACCTCTTTTTCAGGCTTATAAGGTCTATGAATATTACGGGTGCAGTTGCTGGAAACCCTAGAAACCCTGTTTTAACTCACCTTTTCAGATAACAATCATAAGATCATATCAAGCTGCCATGTTTGTTTTGCATGTTGACACTTTTAAAGCTTGCTTTATGTTTGCACCCAGATCTTGCACTGTCAAAAAACCTTATGGAGCCTCTTTAAGTTTATTTCTTGCCATTTGCCATTCATGTAAATCTGGTTCAAAATTTTTTTAATTCCTGTGACTAACAAAAAGAAAATAACACTTACTCTGGATCTGAATCCCCCTTATGACCTTGCCCCTCAGAGTAACTTCCCTTGAATTTATCATTGTCACGTCTTTTCCGCCGAGGTGACCGGGACCTGCTGCGCCGTCCAGGAGATTTACTCCTCCTCCTTGGTGAGCGACTGCGACGTCTTGGAGATCTGCTTCTTCTCTTTGGTGACTTGCTGTGTCTTTGTGATCTAGAAGATGACCTTCTCTGTCGTCTAGGAGATCTGCTACTTCTGCTTAAATCCTGTTTACTTTTCCTTTCCTTGGATAAAGTTCTCCTTGGTGACCTACTACCCGACTTTCTTGGTCTCTCTCTTGATTTTTGTTCCTTGTCAGACACAGAACTTCTTTTTGGTGATCTAGATTTTGAATGATGTCTGAGTGATCCTGATTTTGTTTCACTGTCTTTTCTGCTTGCATCAGTTTTTGTTGAATCTCTCCTTGGAGCAGCAGGTTTTTCCTTTTCAGCATCATTACTTTTTACACTTGAATCATGCCTGGCTTTTGATTCCGTTTTGCTATCATAAGAACCACTATGTCTTCTAGAACTGTGACTGTGTGAGTGATTGTTCAATTTTTCATCTCTGACAAAATCAGTGCTTGGCTTACTATTTTCCTTGCCATCTTCTCTTCCATCACTTTCTCTTCTTGGGCTTTTCCGTCTTCCCTTTTGTTTTTCTTGGCCATCAAAGTCTCTCGCTTCAATCACCTTATGCTTTCTGTCAAGTTCATGATCCTCCCGTTTTTGTCTATCTCTATGCTTGTCTTTAACTTCATCATCTGTCTTAGTCACCGGAATTCTATGATTTCCTGCTGATTGTTTCTCATTAATTCGAGAAGCTTCTGCCAGCTGTTCCTGTAAAAACGCTTTCCTTTTCTCGAGTTCCAAAAGTTCGTCTGCAATTTTAGACTTTTTCTCAGCAGGTTCGCCGTTTTCAGGAGCGTGATCCTTGTCTCTTCTCTTGTGGTGTTTATGCTTGTGCTTATGACTCTTGTGTTTGTGTTTATGCTTTTTCTTCTTTTTCTTGTGATCATGCTTACGCTCAGATGTTGTCTTTTCGTCCTTCACAACACGGGTTCCTTCTTCTGAATCACTGCACAAGTTGTAAGAAAGAGAGAAATTACTGAAAATAACTCAAAATAGTTCGCAAATTATTCATTTTATCATTGGGTATACCTATCTGACGATTCATCGTCTTCTTCCTCCTTCCTCGACTCTCGCTTTCTGTCTTCTCTGACTCCGAAAATCTCGGCCGCCATATTGATTATCTAAGCACTATGTTCGCCATGCGTTTTCCCAGTAGCCTCGATTTGAAGATAACAATAATTTCTATGGGGGAGATGAACGAAAACGTAAGGGCTCCCGTAAGGTTGCACAGAGGCCACCAAAGCAAAAGATGGAACTTTGCTGAAAAATAAAAATATTCCTCTTCATTATAGCCCGTCAAACTGAACTGGATTTAGGGACTGAACTAGAAAAAGACGTAAACACATTCTCCCTTCCTTGTGAGTGTAACAAGTCTTAACTCTTCAACTCTTCAACTCCCAATGGCTGATTACAATTCTTCTCTCTAGCTACTACACATTTCTTTGCAAGCTAGTTACGAGAAATTGGTGTTAGATCATGACAACAACTTCTACCTTGTAAGTTTGGGTCTATTCTCATTACTTGTTTGCTAGATGATGTATGGAAATTATAGGGAGAAGTTACATGTTAGTCACTTCTAGTAAAAGGGTTAACTTTACTTACGACAGGAGCCCCATAAGTGATTTCTCAGAGCAGACGCCGGTACGCACTCTTTTTATCTATTTATTTATGTTTTTTACAAGAACGTCTAATTTTGGGGTAGTGACTGAAAGTTCTTGTATTTTTTTTTTTGCGACTTTAGCCTGAAACGTTCTTAACATGTTCTTAAAGCTGTCTGGCATAATATGTTATTTCAGTCCACTCGGAAGTGAAAAAGAAATCTTTAAATTATGACTGTTCAGCGATTTGTAATGAGCTTTCTTCCATGAACTTTTTAGAAGTTCTTAGAAGTTTTAGCAGTTCATACTAAGTTCGACTACCGGCTGAGTTGTTCCTCAGTGAATCGCGCAATGAGAAAACCGTAATAGGAATGCTAAAAAAAGTCCTTAAGTAATTGAGTTGATTTTTATGTTAGACCACAGTTATACATTTCTTTTACCTTAATTCATACTTCTCACCACCGAAAAAAAGAGAGTAAAATAAAGACGTTCTCAACCTCAAATATTTGCGCAAATTCATGATGAGACGGGGGAGGGGGCGCTTCTTCGAGTACGAAGTGGGGGGGGGGGGGGGGGTGGCTGGGTGTCGCGTGTGAAACTTATTAAGTTTCACCAAAATCGTAACCCCACATGATAGTCTTTTCAATGTTTGTAGTATAAAATTTGGGCGTTTGCATAAGCGTTTACGACAAATGTGCTTGTAATTGCAAAAAAGTTGAAGATGAACCTCCCATCTCATTTGATTGTCCTAGGTATTCGTCTACAGCAGATATTCTTCTCTAAAGAAGAGCTCAAAATTTTATTGAAGGACAACTTTTAACGAGGTACTCTCTGATAATCATTCATCTCACCTTACTTTGAAATAAGAGGCCAACTAATTGCAGAAAAAATATTTAATAATAAAAATAATTCCCTTAAAATTTCTTTTTCCTTTCCTTTGATAATAGTTACATTCTAATTGTTCTGAAACACTTCAATACCCTGTTATAGCCATGTAAACAAAGCGTGTCGTTATTGTTGTTGTCTTTTTGTCATACTTCATTACAAGCTATCAAACTGCACAAGGGAAGAGCAAGAAGAAAAAGTTGAACCTTTTTATAAATCTTTTCCTTATACAATGCATGGTTTTTCGTGATAAGGGCGCGTCTCTTTAATTCCTAAGGCTATCTACTTATTCCATGAAGAACAGCATCAAGCGTTATTCCTTATAGACTCCTATAGCCAATCCCACATCCCGCGCGCATTTTGAGAAAATTTTGAAATTCGAGAAGAACGTCTCTGACTGTAAATAAAACAACAATACACAGATTCCACTCAATTTTTTGTTCAAGTGATGAGAGGATAAAAAGACCGGGCCTCGGTACTCTAACGTGCTCTTCTCCATCAAATAATTTCAAAGTTTTTATCAGCTCGGATAAAATAAAAAGCTCTTCTCCATCAAATAATTTCAAAGTTTTTATCAGCTCGGATAAAAACCCCTCCACCATTGCATACCAGGGTATTTGTCAGGCTGAAGAGGTCCTAAAGTGGAATTATCCATCATGCGTCTTACAAAAAAACTTAAATAGTCTGGTATCAGCTGTAAGGAAGCAAGCCGGAATACGCAAGCCGAGGAGGACGATGGTGACGAGCTGTAACGTAGTCTCCAGAAATTAACAGAAAATTGATTTACCTCAACGCTTTTGCATAAGCTGAGCTAGAAACTTCTCCATATTCCGGAACATTCTATTGAGTTATTTTAAGGATATGTCATCATTAGCGTCTAGAATGTTCTTGCTACTAAAAATAGTGTTTCAGAAATAAGTATGACGTAATCGGCTACTATAAATAAGGTTCGAGATCGTAAGGTTTTCAGAAGTTTAAGATAAATAATTAAGTGTTTAAAAAGGAAAACAAGAATCGTCTCCTGGCTTCGTGACACGGGCGACTTTCTAAGACACATGCTTTACAGCTTAGAGTCCTTACTAGAAGGGCTCTGATCAGTTAGAGTATTAAGGGTGATTCCAGCACTTGTGTTCTCTCCTTCTTCGACAGCAGCATTGTCCTACATATATATATAAAAAGGAAAACAAAAAGAAAATTTGTCATCAACATTCTGAGTGCGAATAAACAGATATCGTGTCGTAGTCATAAGTGCAACTGATTTTTAATTTGATATGAATATCGTATTTCTATTCGTCACATACATGGAAATCGCCTTCAGCTCGAAGAAACCATCGTATTAAACAGGCGCACGCATAGAATTTGACAGCTTAGTATGCAGTATCTGTAAATATTATAATACATTGTAGGCTCTCGATAAACTGGCGCATGTAAGTGACACGAGAGACCCACACAAGCACGCCAAAGCCACTCTCACAAAATCACCAATTCTTATTTCTCTTACGCGTATGACTAATTTTCTCGGCAGGTGCCTCTTTCGAAAGCTTGATAACCTAATACTCTTAACAATGGCTAGATCTGAGAAAATCTGTTTCTTGACAGAATTCGAGGCAGGTATACTGCAAAATAATTTACTTTCTCACTAAGCATGATGAAGGAAAGGAAAGGAAAGCGTAAGTAAAATAAATATACGAATCTAAAGGCGACTTACATGCCCAGTTACTGAATGAGATATTGTTGTCATTGTTCTTAACTTTCCTTCTTGAAGACGCTTTCGGCCCCGGACCAAGTAAACAAGAATCACCGTAGAAAGACACAGAAAGATTCCAATCGCCACGCCAATGGCAGTGTAATCAACGTCACTCAGCTTCTTTGCTGCTTGGCCTGAAAATATATCGAAATGATATTGGCTATTATTGCATAAGTAATAATGAAACATACGAATTTATTTTGTCTCATGAAAGATTTGTTTACGTTACCAAAATTACCCAAGAAAGTTCACAAGCACCGGAAAATGTAGTTATCAGATTACGACTTTTGACCAAAGTAATCCCAACGACCAGTCAGAACAAAGGTTTATATTATCATTAGCCAATGACATTCAGAGGGAAAACAAACAAATCGCTTGAAGCGCGGGAGGACGCGAGCGACTAAGTCGGGTTTGTTTTGCATTTGATTGGTTGAAAGGAGGGCGCGACTTTTCGGGACAAAGGAGAGCCAAAGCAATGATCGCGGATTACTTTCGACACCAAATGAAAACTGTTTTGTTTACTAGTGTAACACAATGTAGAAAGTGCGACTTATATGTGGGTTGGAAACTGCCTGAAGTGCCTGAACCGTAATGGTTCGACGTAAAGCAAAGCAAAAGAAGTCGTGGATTATTTTCGACACTCAATTGAAAATGTCTCTGATCAAGTATTGCTTAAATGAAAGCTCACCTTGTATCACAAATGATCTTCGTGATTGTCCATCTTCATCTGTCCCAACACATGTGTAAGTACCTCTCCTTTCGTCATCATCCGTCACTGCAACAAGAAGATGACTTTCCAAGATGGTGCCGTTGTTCCAGGATATTATCACTACACCAGAGCTACCATCTCTCAGATTGTGCCCTTGTTTCTGCCACGTGATTTCGGCAGAAGAAAGATTGTATTTTAAGGTGCAGGTAAAATGAGCGATTTCACCGTTAGCTGTCTTCCGAGAGGTTGGAGCTCTTGCAGTAACTGATGAACCTAAAAAATGATGGCCAGCAAAACAAAACGAAACCACTCTCATTTTGAAGAACATTGTTTAGCTGGAGTAGGTGAATGTCTGACGTTTGTCTTACGATACACAGTAATAAGTTATAGAGTGGAGCGACAGTTACTTGGTCTGAACATAGTTAATGGAGGGAGTCCCCTCTACTAACTATGGTCTGAAATAAAACGCACGCGAACTCGTTTGAATGAAAATTGATGTGTATACTTCCAGACCAAACTTGCACGACGCACTCCTTTTGATTCCGCTTCCCAAAATAACAGGATTTCGATTAGTACACCTAAAAATATGTAGAAGCAAAACAGTAAAATTTTTGGAAAAACTGGCCCTTAAATGCCTTTGTTTTATCTTCCGTTTTCCTGCGATTTGAATTATCACTTTCTCATTAAATAGTAAATTTATCAGAGTTAGAAACGAAAAGGGAGCACTGACTTGTACTTAATAGAACTGCTGGTAGCTGACCAGATTGCAAGGACTATGAGTGACACCAAAGTAATCAATTGTTCATCTGGAGATCGATATGGCCTCCAATGATATACCGTAAAACGAGTCGAAGAACCTTTCAACAATGATCTCCTGACTTAGTCCATTAACATCAATAAGGAGAAAGAAAAATGACCTCCCGGAGCCTGGATGCCTACAAAAGCCGGTCAACAACATGCCGGAATAACGAAGAGAACAAAAGGTACTTATAGCATCTGTCTGCAGACATTTAGCGACAAGTTTACGGAAGCTCCATCAGTCACTTGGTGGGGAAAAGCCGTGTATCGCCGTTGAAAATTTGCAAGCAACAATTTCCCGTGAGTCAGTATCGCGAAACAAACGATGAGAGTGAGGATATTTAAATAATATCGAAAAGGTAAACAATGATCACATATTGTTACACTGACGATCAGGAACAACGCGGTCTGATGGTTTGAAGTGGTGGAAACCGGTAAGATAAGTTCACCCCTACAGAGGGACGGAAACTTCTCTTATCTAGAAAAATAATTTGTCGAGCTTTATCGGCAACAATCTTTGCAAGGGAGCCGATAAATGAACATTGATGAAGTAACCTGAAACAACATTTGACATTACCGCACGTGATTTGTTGCATTTGTTGCCGCTCACCGCGATTGCTGACGGCCGCAGTGTTAGTTTAAACGATGAGAACACGTGTTTCAGGCCGTATTTGGCCTTTCTTAATTCTCAGTTTAAAAAATTACGAAACGAATAGAAGATTTATATCAACAAAAATCTGCGACATACATACAGCTCAAACGGAAACTACAGTGCAGCGGTGAATTCAATGATAAATAAGTAGATAATTGAAGAAAAATGAAAGATAAAGGTACTTATTTGTGTAGGTCGCTAAACTGAGGTCGCTGCCGATTTTGTCGAAGATTGAACGGCAAATGATCAAGCCTTTCTGGTATCATAACAGTGCATGAGAGTTACATATTTTATTAGTATTTAGTTCGCACACGATCACAGTACAAATCTTCTAGAGTGCCAACGAAACAACAACGGCGAGCTATAGAGGAACAAATGGCGCAAACGCAAAAAGAAAAGGAAAGATAACGTTATGAAAAAAAAGAAAAAAAAATTAAAACGCTCGTTGAAAAGCTGGAGCTAACGTTTCATCATCGCGCTTCAGGCAATCGTGATGAGAATTGGTGGATCATCACCTTAAATGGGTCAAGAGTCGCGGAATTAATCTTATAGATCAAACTCATTTATCAGCATTTGTTGTATTTTGTTTCTGTTCAAAGTTACATCGCTTGAAACTTTGCCCATTAGGCATGGCTGCCCGAAAATAGAGCTAAGAAAAGCATTACAATTTAGTCTAAGACCAGGTTTTTTTTATCCTAGAAGGAAAGACTCACTTACCTTCATCGCCATCAGCGAACAAGAGAGTAATCAAAATCATCACCGCCGAGAAAAACTTAGCTTCCATGCCGCTCAACGTATCCAACTGTCTGAGGGCAGAAGCTGTAGACCTGTTGTATGCGAAGTCGCGGGCCTATCTGACTCTCATATTTCCTTGCAAGTCCGCAAATTTGATATATCCTTTCCGGTGATGGGCGATCCTTTAAATTTGGTACTGGCAGTAATTGGAATTTGACATCTCGTGATGGCCCCATGAAGACAATCAAAAAGAGGTGCTTAACTCCTATTTTCGACTTTTTCAAAATAATATGGAAATGTGGTTATGCTGGTTTTCGCGAATTGAAATTCAAGTCTGTGGAAACATTCTATGATTTTCCGTTGGTCTTTGCTCTTGACAAGTCATCAGAGAAAATGATGAGAGGCCTTTTGACAAGAATAGTTCATAACTTGTAGATACTTCATAGCTCGCGATCAGAATTTTGCTTTACTTAAAAATATCTTAACTTTCATAGTGATAATATCAACAGGTGTCAGAGGTCAGTAAGAGTCTTTGGTATGATTTACTTTTAGAAAGTGGCGTGATGTCCCTTTAGAATGTGGCGTGATTTCTTTTAGCAGCTCAGACGCTGATGTCCTTGTGATGTGCACGTGTAAAAACGGAAAGATAAACAATTTCTTTTAGAATTGCAGAGACGATCTGGACTAAAGCCTCAGGTTCCCCCATGACCACATTCAATTGAAGTTGAAAAAAAAAATGGAGTAATTAGTAGATAAAATTAAGTCCTTTCCTCTTAAAATGGGCCAAGGGCTAAAGTTCCAATGAATAGTTATGACGCCCAAAAGTCAGCATTTCCTTGGGATTTTTATAATCCGTCTGTGAATTCTCGATCAATCTGTTAATTAGTATTAGCTTTCATTTACTATTTCAAGCTCATTATGCATGCAGCGGAGCAGCGGTTAAACGTAGGGCATGCGCGTGGAGATCAATTTTGGGCGCCCGCGCGCCAATTTCCCGCGTAAAAATTCGAAGGAAATCATAAGAAACAACTGTTTTCTCTCAACAAAAGCGAAAGAAAATTGAGACGTTTTTAAAAATCTCTTAAAGTAAACAATAGAATGGAAAAGGAAAACTCGAGACTTTTCAAACACGAAGCTTAAGACGGGTATCATGTTCATTTATCATTATGTTTTGTGTTAAGCCAATTAAATTATGCACTTCTAAAACACCGAGACTTTATACTGAGTTGTGTCGGATTGCTTGTGATTTTTGTGAGACAACATGGTTCTCATAACCTGAAATCACACCATCTAGACCTCTCTCTAGTCATTATAAGGTTTGCACATGCGCAGACGTTTAACCGCTCTGTTGAAAGCGTTGCATGGTCTTCGTTTGATGAGCATGGGCTCATTTCCCGATGGTGGCTAGTTATCGAGCCAGCCCAAAGAACACTCTGAGGAGCGAGGCGTAGAAAGACTCCATTGCAATTCCCCTACCTCTCAACATCCTCTGCTTCAAAGGTCTCGCGTTTTCAACCCAAACCGGAACAAAGAGAAAGCATTGAAGTGTTACATCGGCTACTACAATGACATAGCCCCATGTTTAGCCGGGGTGAGAACTAATTTGACCGTGCCAGAGACTTCCTTGTCACTTGACGACTTTCTCTCTTTTCCAGAAAATGTTCCCCGCTAATCTAACGTTACGAATAGAGTTAAGACAGGGGTTTAGAGTATGTTTCGCGCAGTTATGAAACAAGGCATCATCTTTTCAAATAGCTGCGTTTTATGTAAACAATTTTAGATTAGTAATCGAAAGCGTCTGGGAACATAGTTATTTTATTCAAATTTGAATATTTTATGCGATTTTGAACTATTCGTATGCTAAATTTTTTCATAAGTTGGACTTAAGCATGACTAATTGGACTTATTTTGTGAAATATTGTGAGACAATTCAGCATAAGCGGGAGACTGGACGACTTAGTTGTTTCCGAGTTTGAAGCACCTTCGTTTTCAAAGTGAGGCCGAGCGCAAAACCTCTCTTGTGTGCAAGTGTTTTGATTGCGTAAGAATAGAGGAATTATTTACATTTTTTTAAAAGGCTTCGCACTTGCCCTCGTTTTAAAACAAAGGCTTTGGATATGTCGGAAATAGCCCTTTTGTCTACGTCTAATATTCTCCTCAAACGCAATTTGATTTTCATGCCTTTCTATGCAAGTGAGTCCTATGAGGTGTTACAGTAAATTGTGCCTGCCACAAAATAACCCACTCCTCTTCAAAATATGTATATACATATATTTCTTTTTTGCAAGGAAACTCAGCATCGAGTAACAAAAATAAAACACTGATACATCTAAAGCTTAAAAAATATTCCTACTTAAGCTTACACTGATACCACTCTTTTATTCCCACGGCCCTGTATTGGATAAAAGTTTCATGAAGCTCTCTTTAAAAAGAGATTTAATAACCATCTGCCTTTAGTCCCTTTTTGTAATCAAATAGTTGCTCAGGTGATTATGAAAATGGAAGCGCCCAAATTAGTCGAGAATCACGTCATATCCATTTATTTTCGCTCTGATAATCACCCGAGCAATTATTTTATACTATAACAATTATTCTTCCCGGGGTCGGTGAATACTATAAAATAAATGTTCATTAAAAGCATTTTACGCAAGAACATTTCTATTTGCTTAAAAACAACTCACTTATATGACCTTATATGGACATTTTGAGGTCCACTAATCAACTAAATAACTTTTTGTTTAAATAATCGCCCCTTGGTTTTTAGATTTAAACAGGTGCTACCCTTAGATTGCTGAGGGGGTGGGGAAGGGGTGGGGAACGAGTTGTCCTCTGGAAGTAAAGTAGCGTGATCGTATGAATGGAAAAGGAATTTAAAACCTACAATGCAAACCTCTTAAAAATTTCCCAGTTTCAAATGAAACTCAAAAAATATGACGCCCTCAGGGCATTGAAAAAGATACTTTCCAAAAAGAAACTTGACCGAAAACTCCTTATCTATCAACTTTTCGCTCAATCAGGTGAAAAAAAAGAGTAAAACAAGCGCAGTAAAAATCCTTCTCTGTATTTTTAATCTAGAGTAAGACCCTACGCTTTGATTCACCCTCGCGTTGTACCCCAGCTCTCATTTGTAATTAATTATAGAATAGAGGGAATTAAAAATTTAAAAAATCAAGCTATTTGTGTTTTGACAAAATCGGTGCACAGGAAATAAATACTAGATGATCGACAGATAAATTTAAAATATAGGCCTATATGTATCACTGCAGTTGATTTTTTGTATGTCTGGTAAATTAAAAATTGATAATCATTTCCAAGATATTGCTGAGGTAAAAAAGGATGGTAATTTCAACTTGGACTAATCTTGCAGGTGTGCAAACCATCGAAAGCTCTGTTTTTGAGAGGTTCTTTTGCTTTTAACGTATGCAAAGTGCGGAGAACATGAAAGTATAGCGAAGAAAAAGTGGTCATTTAAAACGCAATAGCCTACATGAGGAAACTTTTGGCTGAAATAATTTGGGAGTGCTTTGGATTTGCTTTACTGAACTGTGTGTTCGGGCTTGAGAACTTGCGTCATCTTCCCGACCAAGCGGATGCAATACGAAATCAGTCCAGACTTCATCATTCAAATTTTCCTGCGCTTAGTGCTTGTATCCACGCTGAATTCTCATCGGCTACTTGAGATGTTAGCCTCTGCTCGCACAGGCTGTAAGAATCACTTCGTTTTTAACTGGTTTACATATGCAATCGAAATGTTCTGTGTTAGCTAAGCGTAAAAAAAATCATTGTTCACTGACGAAAGTAAGTCACAAATCATGCGCATTAGGGCGCTTTTTGATTCAGTGTTGCAAAAGCTTAAATAAAATTATAGCAACGGCCAATCGGAAGAAAGGAAATACCTTAAAGAGCTAATAAGAACTCAAAATAAAACCAACTAAACTTCTTGAAGCGCGGGAAAACGTGTGCGACTAAGTCGTGATTGGTTTAAGTTTTGCATCCGATTGATTGAGAGCGTGACACGAGTTTTCTGTAACAATTACAGAGCGTGACATGAGTTTTCTGTAACAATTACAGAGCAAGGAAAGCAAAAACAAAGCAATCCTGGATTCCTCTTTACAATCAGTTGACAACTGTTCCAAAATCGATTTAGAAAAAAGTAGCAAATGGAAACCACCACACGAGAAACCGCTTTTCAAATTAAAAAAAAGAAAAAAAAATAGCCACAGAGACAGAGCGCCAAATGAATTTAGGCGACACCAAGAAGAGAAAACAGGCAAAGAAAGTGCCTTCTTCTTTTTTTGGTCTTTTCTTAGTTTCACAATTATACACTCTTCAGGTTTACTCAAGTACCTCTATCTAGTGTACGTAACTACAAAACCAACGAGACTGGCGAAAGTGCTTGTTCCAATCACCAAGCGGATATTGCTACGATTACACTGAATAAGATTCCCATTACGTTTAGTCTGAGTAAAACCTCGTGAAAGCTTGGTCGTGACGTGAGTTGTTTAAAACCCATTTACTTGTCTCTTGGTTCACACCGTCGATGTGCAATTAAGACTTGTAGCTCCATCATCGTCTGGATCATGATGAGCTGGTGCACCGTTTCTAATTTCTTTATCGCTATCCTTATTTGGCGTGGAGTGCACTAGGGCAACGTGTTCCGCACCCTGAAAAAGTAAGAGAGACCAGAACGTTAGGGGTTTAAAGGAAAGAAATAAAAAAGGACTTCCGCACTTGACAGTGACAGAGCGGTAAACGCAACCATGATGTTTCCACGACCAGATTCAACGCGTTTCCAAGCAGTTGAATTCAGTAAGAAAGACTTCTCTTAGCCTAGGATCGAAGGTCTGATTAAATCTTCTGTCTAACGCAGGGTTAACTTTTTACTTCAAGTCTCATCTTTGATTCATGTATTTGGACTAAATACCGTCATTATTTTTCGCCTGAGGGAGGTGGGGGTTGGGGTTTTTGGGAAGGATCACATGGTTTTCAGGGAGTTCGGAGGTGTAGGAGTATCTCATGTTTGATTAATGTATTTTGATCAAGGAACCTGCCATTATTTATCACCTGAAGGGGGTGAGGGTTGGAGGTTTTTGCGTAGGATCATATGATTTTCAGGGGGAACGGAGTGGGAATCAGTCGTCTCCAATAGCGTTTAAAGGAGTGATCAGATAAATTTTATTGTGATACAACCAAAAGCCTCAACCATCCCCTTGACGATAAATAATTGGGAGTTTAAGATGTCACTGCGGCGACGTGTGGGGTAAAACGTTGCCGAAAAAACGCAAATTATTTTCCTTTAAGATTTTCGCCAGTAGCTCTCAACGTTTCTGACAGTGCGACGTCTTTACTTCGTCATAATATGTGAACAAAGTGTTAAGTTCAAAGTAAAACTGCGACTAAATCGCTGTCGGGGTCTCCTTGCTAACAGGACGTAAAAGTTGGCGATTTCCGTTTTAGTTCTGTATGGGACGGCTAAGAAATGTTTTAAGTTTTAAAACGCACGTGTTTTGCTACGTTCTTGTTTCCGTCGCCGTCGTGGTTTTCTCAGTCTATAATGACTGGTCGCTAATGCTAATAATCAGCACAGTATAAATATGCGCAAATTTAGTACAAATAACCCGCGACGTTGTGCGGTAAGTTGAACTGTTGGTTATTTTGCATTTGGAAAAAAAGCTGCTAGACAAGTTGACTACACTTGCGTGAATAAAATGCAGCGGTTGGATGAGAATAAATGATTCAAAGTTTTAGTGTGAAGTATCGCTGATTATTTTCATTCATTGTCTGTATTTCAACCCTCGCCGCGGGCTCTTAAAAATACGGCATAACTTTCGAAATTCTCAGCGACACTAAACACCAAAACCTTTAGTAAGATTTACACATCCTTTAACCTGTTTACCTCTTAGAGTGACCACCATTTAATTTCTCCTTACAATGTCACCCCTGAATCAAACACGAAGGTCAAGAGAATTGAGGAAATGATCCCCAGCTGAGGAAGTTCTTGATTGTTTAACAAATTCTCCTTGTCAACACCCTCAGAAATATATAGAGAACAATATGGAGAATGTAGATTCTGACTGATGTTGGGGTGTAGATGGCAAACTTACTCTTCGCTTACCTGAGAAGAAGAAGACTGTGACAAGGTTCTTGCTCTTTGCCTCCGGACAGATTTCTTGATCTGTTTTGATCCGCGCTTCATTAAAATCGCAATGGATATCACGAAGAACAACGTTAACCCAACTGATATACCAATGGCAGCTTTGTCCGTAGAAGTTAGTCCCTCCAGGGGGTATTCTGACATAAAAAAACAATCACAAAAATACGCTTCTATAAGACAACACTCGTAAACAATCCTTGATTTGACCTACTCGGGTCGACAGAGGAACAAGCCAACTGCTGCATCAGCAAACTGCACAAAACCGTTCTCTGACCTTAGATGAGTGACTTCATCTAATTTCTCCCCACAAAGTCATCCCTGAATCAAACATTTAGGTTAAGAGAATAGAGGAAATGATCACCAACTTAAGAATATCTTGATTGTCAAACCAATACTCTCTGTTGGCAGCGCAGGAAATATGTAGACAACAGTATGGGGAAGATGCTATCGCCGTAAACAGCCGGCGACTCTTTAGATTTCTCTGTTTAGCTCTAAAAATGCAACACTGTTCATTTGTCTTTAACTGTGTGTGGGAAAATGAATAAGCAAAAGCCATAGAGCCCAGTTTTTGTATCATCAGGGGAAGCAGAACTAGGATGAACTCCACCCCATGCATCAGTACGAAATATCATAATAATGTTTAACTTATATACGTACCACCAATTTTAAAAGACATTGTTGTTTCTCCTTCTTCGTTTCTTGCCACACAAATGTAAATCCCCCGTCTCTCATTGTCAGTTACAGCAACGAATAAATGACTTTCTTCTAAAGTGGAATTACTCTTTTCCAAAACAGCGACCCCTTCATCTGCATCTTTAATCGTTACTCCGTGACGCTTCCATCGAAGGAAAGGCCTGGGACTCCCACGCGACTTGCACGTGAAATGTGCTATGTCATCCTCCTTGGTAGAAACAGCCGTTCCGTTACCTATAATTTCAGGCTTACCTGTTGGTTTAAGAAAGAGATTCATTTTCGTCAGAAAGGGGCCTGTGTTTCTTATGCTGATTAAAAATAGGAAGCTATATATTTAACAAATATTTTCCGTGTTGCCATGCGCCTGTGTAATAGTAGGTCACAGATAACGTCAAAGTGTGATATAAACTGCGCCTGTGTCACTTGTTCCTGAATCTGTGTGACCGCAAACCGTTGGGAGTCACGTGACCGGACCCCAGCTGTCACGTTCGCCTTTTGCTGTCCACGTTTGAAATTAGGGCAAGGCAGTTTCAGGTAGTTGAACTCCGTTGACGCCGTTTTTTCTTCCTGTTTCGTATGTCCTTTAATTATATGTGAGGCGAAGTCTTTTCAATTTAACCAATCCATTTGGAACGCTAGAAAACCAATCTTTTAGCCGCGTTTTGTGTTTGAAACAAAGGATCTCCATCCTTTGCGTAATTCAAGAAGGCAATGCATATGTTGATTTTTTCAGGTGAAAGCCGACGTCGATCTAAAAGCTGAAAGTCTCGAAACCTCTAACTTCTAACTACAAACTGCTGACCGCGGTTTGACGTTTGCGGTGAACACATCAAAAGTGGATCTAAAAGTCTCTACCGTACAGATCCACGGAAATAGAAAAGCAAAATGTTGCTGATGGTGACGTTATCTGTGTCCGTCCTCCAATCAATCATAGGTAAGAGCCAATCAGTAGGCGAGCATAATTCAGCTTATCGTATATTGGTGTCCAACCAACTTTTTTTAAATTGATGGAATAAAAAAAAATTAACCACTTACTGAATGAACCTATACACAATTCATGATCATTCGCTCATTGCATGGTATTTTTTACCCATCTGTACAAAAATGTCAAATTGGAGGGCTTTATCATTTTTTTTCTGCCTAGAAACATGTGTGTTTGTCACTCAGTGTATCGCTCCTCCCAGACGTTTATGTCACAACGCTTTTGTCGATCGATACAAAGAGCTATTGTCATTTGTCTGGATTATAGACCTGTCCCGATTTTGCTCCAACAATGCTGGAAAGTTGCTCACTGGAATGCCATAAAGTTTCCAAAAAACAGCCAAAAATCCAAAAAAGTGGCTACCTAAATTTCAAAATTTACTACCTAAATCTCTTGATATATTTCTATGAAAGTTAATTAAAAGCTTTATTTTTCGTTATTCACAATAATTGCGGAAATAGGTCTAGAAAAATAGGTTGAAACTTAGAGTTACTCGCAAACATGGGCAATATTTATGGTTACTTCAGTCTAACGGAACAAAACGCATGGTTCAATTCTTACTGAACGTCATTTCAGCCGATTATCCGTTAAAACATTAGATATGAATCGCAATAGGCCTGCGAAGCGTTGTCAAGTCACAGGTTGTGTGTTGAAAAGGTTGATAAAAATTTCATGAAATTCGCAGAAACTGCAGTTGTTTATGAAATCGTATACATTTGTGTGCTTGTTATGTGCTCTAAACCTACATTTGCTAAAAAAAAATGCTCAGAAAGCAAAAGTTGCTCGAGGTTGGTAGAACTACAAAGAGTTGCTCTTAACGCTAAAAGTTGATCAAAAGTTGCCGAGCACAATCGGAACAGACCTAACGGATTCACGTTACGTACAACTTTGGCAAATAATTGATCTGACCTCGGGGAAACAATGAGCCCTTAACAGAAAAGAATATTTTTAACGCCTCGATAGTTTTTATTATTTGACTAATCAGTTTTTGTTAGTAAGAAGTTGTACAGGTTTGTAAACAAACAAGTCAAGGCGAGCTTTTACAGAAAGTGAAAACAAATTCGCGAAGATGTGGCATCTAAAATCCTCCCTCGTGCTCACTTAGAAGGTCGAGCTTTTCAGTTAAATATTAATGATGTTTTTATAAGTATTTTTCAGTTTAATTTGCATATAAATAAGTTGAGAAGGACTGCTTGGCCATAAACCAGCGCTGTATCAGCCTGGGGGATTTAGGAAAGAGTCGAAATTGAGTTTCGTATTTTGGAAAAAACAATGTGTCTTTAGAAAATTACCAATCGATTTGTGGAATGGATTTACAGCGTTTCACCTGTCCACTTAAGCATGCAATCTCGCCTTCTGCTGCCTAACGAAAAAAACAATGTTTGGAAAAACATTGTTTTTTCTGTCTGGAAAACATCACAATCGTTTTTCTGATTTGATAACATATGCATTTGCATTTGCTGCAAGATCGCTGCGATTAGTCAGTAATGAATATGTTATATTCGTTTTCAAAGTGGTCAAAATAAGTTTGGAAAATGAAAACATTGATTATCATTTGATCGCTTTTGAAGACAGTAATCAATCAGTCTCGAGCAACAGAAAATCACGTTGTTTCTTAGAACCACGCCAACGGTTTCGAATTTTGCCTGCAGTCTGTTTGCAAGCCCACCAGATATTACGAGTATGTTACGTCACTCGTTACAGTTCGATAGTTGGAGTCTTTAAACGAGGTCACTTAAGATAAACAATCATTCACCCAAGAAGCTCTGTGTAATAAATTTTCGAAATAAACCTCCAAAAGGGGGCGATGTATGCTTCCAAAAGAAGCATCTTAATAAAGCAATGATCAAAATAAATCAGATCACTAGAGAACTAGACGTCGCGTTTCGATCAGGTTTTATGCAAATGTACTTGTTTTTGTTGCCAACATTCGAGAAATAATGGTGACATTTTACTCCGAATTAGTAAGGTTTATTCTGACAAGTCCGATTTCGACATTATTCGGGTTTCTCGCCACTTCCCTAGAATTAAATGATGACAATTCAATTTATAGTTTCCTTGATGACTTTCTTCAACGCGGAAAGTACCAAAGTTAAACTATACGTTACTATTACGATACGTATCCTCCACTTACCTGCAGAGACGACACAAACAGACTGCAACAAAACAGTCCCCACCAAGAGGCTCAATAACACAAACATTTCTCTGTCAATGTTCAGAGTGTCTGAGAGCTAAGTTGCTTAATCTCCCACCACCAATTTACATTTGTTTGAATGAGCCACGCGGTGGAATTAAACGTTGTAAACGTGAAGTCTTGTCGACCGGCGTTTTCGTTGAATCCACGTGCCAAGCTTCAAGAATTGATTTGACGTCAGCTTTTCTGGACACTGGATGGACTTTGGCACCACTGAGTCTTGAAAAACAAAAATTTAGACGTTAGGTCATGTAATAACTCCTAATCTTTGTGGTGCGAGCACGAGAGCCGTAAAAGTTTCATCCTGTGCGTAACAAAAAATTCGGAATATATTTGCATGAGAATGAGTTAAAATATGTAAATATACATTCGTTAGTTAAAAACTGTTCTATTTGCCTCTGATTGTGTAAACAGGCAGGTGGGAAAGAAAAAGGAAAAAGAAATAATACGATGAAAGAGTTCTTTAAATGAAGTCACTGTATCTTTATTAAAGAAGCATTGTTAGAACGAAAAAAAACTAGACTAGTGCACTTACTAGACTAGTGCACTTTTACTTAAAGAGACGGAAACTATTTTTGAGAAATCACATTGGTAATAATCGGCAAAGGTAATACTTGTAACCACCAATTTGATATCGTCTAAAGTTCATTTTACCCATCAGTAACAAACTTGATAGATGGAATAATATTTGCTTTCCAGAAAAAATAATTATTGAGAATACTCTGAAACCAAGGCAACCTTTTACATAATCTTTCACTGAGTTGTTCGTTAATTTTTTTTTTAACTTTTTCCACTTTGTTAAATTAAAGAGTACCTGTAATGTTTTTTCGCGAGGCATTGCCCTTCTTTGTCGTCAAAACTATCTTTTTTCAACGATTATAGAATTTTAGCTGATTTATTTTCAAAAGCCTTAAAGAATACTTAGCTTATACGAGTTCCGGTACCCAAGGTCATTCGAATTTACATCTATAAACATTAGCGCTTTTTAAACAACCCTGACAGTTTTGGCTATCTCGCGTTTGACGTGAACTTCCCTCCTCTTGAAGCCTTTTCAGCGGGTTTATCTTAAACTACTCATTGTTTATTGTTATAGGATCTTTGTTCGGATTTCTCGCGTGTCTTTGTCGATACTTTCGTTTCGGTTTTATTACATATAAAATTTCTACCTTTGCCAGAGTCTCTGAGAAAGAATAGAACATTCTTCATAACTTATTCGTTCCATCTATTTGGTAAATAATATGTATGTCGATCACTTTCGAATTTATGTGGTCGAACTTTTATGGGCACCCAGGAGATTTCGTTATTCAAGAACAATGTGATAATGTCAGACGCAAAATGATATGAAATTATGCGCGGGTCGGTGTTAATGAAATAAAGTAACCCTTAATTCAACGACCGATCAGCAGAAAGTAAGGCTTTATTTTCACAAACTCGCAAATTCAGAGGTTGAGGAACTAACGAAAATTACTGGATAAACACCGGGGGAAACACGAGTGAATTAACCACAATGGAGTTTACAAAGTTGCGAATCTGAAAGAGGTGCCGCTTTTCTAGAACAATTGGCAAGGAATAAAAGACAACCGAACTTCCCTGGCAACATGAATAGTCACGCGACACTGACATGCGATATTTAATAAACGGTTCAAACATCAATTCCTGGTTTTTGACGAGGAGAGCTTGATTTGGTCTCATATCTTGGCAAAGCGTCAGTTTTGTTGTTCACATCATACATAAATTCCGAGAGATAGGTTTACTTTTAAGTGCTAAGCTGGATTTTGACCTTATTCCGACCGGATGAAAAAAAAAATTGTACTTAAAATAATCATCGAAAAAGAACAACATACCCACTCGCACAAACAAACTCATTTAAAAGTCCGGTGTCAATTTGAACCACACTTCCCCCCGTATTTTTGATACTAGACACCCCTTTCAGATTGGGGGGTAAATACGCCAAGCCACTAAAACATGCAACACAGTCAGCAAAAGCCTACCGTCCCCCACCCTATCAAGGCTTTAAACTCGCAGCTGTAGAGAAGCCATCCTGGAATAATCTCTGGGCTACGACTGGGTAGTAAATATCTTC